CTAAGTTAATGCTTATTTATGATTTACTGTAGACTAAGAAGTGTTCTACAGACCTTCATATAATGATTAATTAGTCCCACATTTGTACTCCAAAGCAGATATGGCAAGTATCATTTTTATAAACAAGAGTATTAGAAGGTCTCAGATGATGTGTAATAAAAAATAAACACATATTAGTCCCCCATTCACTACCTCTCTTAGACGCTGTACAAAGAGATATGTTTCACATTAAAATAACACACTTAAGTGGTCGTGCAAAACCCAGCATCTATTGTAACTGTCATCCTCATAATGTATATGAATAAACAACAGCATGCAGATGTTAGACACCGTGTTCTTTGATGTAGCCTGTAAGCCATCAGTCTGGGATTAGAGGCTCTTTTTTTGCTTCTCTTGAGATAGTGGGAGCTGGTGTTTGAATTCCAGTCACTTGGCACCAGAGACTATGCACCCACTGCAGTCTGCTGCCTTGCAGACAAATCCCGCATGTATTTTTGGTTGAGTTATTAAATTTTGTGATTGCAAGAACCTTCAAAAATGACCATTTTAGGAAAAAATCTATTTGCATGTATTTCAAAGACCCTCTGAAGTAACAATTTTCTTGCAGTCTCTGTGGGATAAATCCTGATAGAGGCTATCTCCAAGAAGTGACTTATTCCGTCATATTATCATTCCAGCAATATTATTAGAAGCTACTTTTCTCTGTTGTGGTGAAGTTTGGATTCTTACAGTTGCAACTGAAATCCTTTGAGCCTGAGCTGCCTCTCTAAAATCATGAGATAGAAGTTTAATTTCTTCCCTTCACTAAACCCCTTTGTAGGACATCTTCTCTAGTTTTTGGTTTCTTGGGCTATTCTTATCCAACATAGCTCAGAAGTTACTGACGATCGAAGTCTCTGCCCTTTCGTACAAGGAAATAAATGTACTCTTCTCAAACCTGAAGCACAATGCATATTACAGATGCATTCTGAACATTCTGGAATAGAGCAGGCTAAAATTTTGCATCCAATTCCTGGAAATGGTATAATAGACTGGGTGATGGGGTTTAGAATCACCTGGACACAGCTCTTGGCATATCTGTGAGGGTGTTTCCAGAAAGGTTTAACTGAGAAGGGAAGACCCACTCTGAATGTGGGGGGCACCATCTTGTGGGCTGGGGCACGAGAGGGAACAAAAAGCAAAAGATAGAAAGTGACCAGAAGACCAGTGTGCATTTCTTTACTTCCTGACAGTAACACCATTGACCAGTTCCTTCATACTTTTGCAGACATGCCTGCCCACCATGATGGATCATATCCCTCAAACTAGGAGCCAAGATAAACTTTTCCTCTCTTAATTTACTTTGGTCATTTGTTTTGAAACAGCCAGACGAAAAGTAATTAATACAACTAATTAAAATGGTAGATGCAGGCAGGAGAGATGGCTTAGCAATTAAGAGCACTTGCTGGTCTTCCAGAAGACTGATCATAAGTTGCCAGCACCCAAGTTGGGTGACACATAACCCTCTGTTACTCCAACTCTAAGCGATCCAATGCCCCCTTCTGGCCTTTGCAGGCATCTGCACTCACTTGGTACACACACACACACGCACACACACACACGCCCCGAAAATTAAAAATCTTTTGTAAAAAGGATAGATGCAGAAATCAGTTTATTATTAATTATTTAGTAGTTATTAAGAATATAGTTTTAATTATTATAAGCAAATTGGTTTGGACGTATTTGCTCAGCTCACTGTGCCTCAGTTTCTTCCTTGACCAAACGTATAACCCCCGAGCCTTCTTGTTAAGTCACTATGAACAGGATGTGTAGTCCTGGAGTTCGATGTTTGGAAAACTGCTTGGTTTGCACCTCTGAGATCCATAGGTACTAGCAGTTAAAAATGGAAGGTGTACTGTGTATTGACACAGACATTGTAAAGAAGAAATATTTATAGTCTGCCTTCTCAAGGGACTGCCACTTAAAATTCTGTTTCATGTTTCTTGTGAATTGACCTATGATTGCATTTGACTCTGGAAAACCATAAATCATGTCATGCTGTGGACTCATAATTAGATATCAAGGGACAATTCATAAACTGCTTCTGGGAAATGGAATCTCTTTTATCCTGTTCCATTCCAATTTAGGTGATTCCGTCATATCTTTTGGAATCCTGAATGTGTCTTCTACAGGACTGGTTTTCTGTCTCTGTATCTTATGTGCACATGTGAAGATTTCTGTCAGCATCATCAATGAGGTCACTGATAAAAAACAGAGTCAGAAACAGAGCCCGCAGCAATGCATTCGAGAAGTCCCTTTGGGGAGTCATTCGCACAGTCAGAAATCCACCTAACAGTACTCACATACAGAATATTTCTTAATTTTGTTAATAAGGACACTAAGGGAGAGATTTTGGGAGGTTTAACTAAATCCAAATGTCTATTATCGATTTATAGCATTGCCTGCTTGGTAATCCCAAATCTATTTTTGAAAAAGAAGAAAAGCTTACTTGAGAGCAGTTATTTGCAGGGAACTTCTGTCGATTCTTAGTAATTTCTTCCGTCTTCTATCAGGGCTCTCAAAACTCTTTTGAAGAATCACTTATATTATCTAACTAGGCATTAGTGGTAATACGATTTTGTACTTCGAGACATAGTGCTGCTTCCTTTTTAAAGCTGAGACTTCGTTTTTTTCTGTCACCAACCTTGTCTCCACCATTAACTGCCAAGATAATGACAGCTTAGAAATCTCATTTACAAATTCTCTCAGAGTTTTGAGATTTAATTTCTCAAGGTCTCGGCACTTGAAACATTTACTGATATCCCCTGCAATCACCTCATTTAGTGTGGTTTCAATTATTTTTTTTCTGATGATTTTCTAGCCCTCTCCAATCAAAAATTCCATTTGGAAAAAGATAGAAACAAGAAGTTCTTATACTATGGACTTCAAGTCGATAACGCCCTTTGTAGATTTGCTTAAAATGAATAACTTTGGTCCTTTGATATCCTTGCATTTTTGCCACTTTCCTTTGTTCTGACTTAATTTTCCAGAATATTCTCCTAGATCTGTGACTTTCGTGTATTTCCTCTAACACAGGCCCTTCTTTTGTACAGTCTACATTCAGTGTGTGTGTGTGTATATGCTCTCATATTGGGCTGAACATCAATTAACAATCAAGAAAACATCTCAGAGATGTAGCCACAGGCCAGTCTGATGGAAGGAATCCCTCAGCTGAGGCCCCCTCTTCTTAGATTCTGTGTCCCGTCAAGATGACAGCTGAAGCTAAGTATGGTGGGGCCAAGCGCTCTATCCGCATTTATGCCTACATTGGTTTTTTTAAAACAAACTTTATTTTAGACACAGCAATAAACTTACATATTAAGTAATGCTATAATAGAATTATTTGATATAGTTTTTAACAGAAGCAAAAGGGAAAATTTTCAGGTTACAAAACAAATTTAATTTTAAAAATCACTTTTTGTAAGTGGGCCAAGGCAAAATATATATTCAGTGACTAGTAACTTTAATTCCTATTGAACTAATGATCAATGGTTCTTGCTATTCAATACCTAGAAAGTTCAATCCGCATATCCACAATTAAAAAGAAACACGACTTTAAAACAAGCACTCTTTTTCTACATTCTAAATATCGTAGATTTATAGTGCATTTACACGGGGTTTGCATCTCACCTTCCGTACGGTTCCAATTACAATCCTGCTTAGCTATTTTTTTCATGGATTTATTTTCTCACAAGATATTGTGCCAATTCACAAGAGCTTTATTTAGAAGTGGTTCATGGACTGAGCTGATTTCCATCTTCTGCACGTGATCATATGCTTTACTGTTAATTTACAATGTCTTTATATGCTAGGACTAACCCTGCACTGGTCTCTGGTATCCTTGTTATATGGACTTGGAGTATGCTGCAGTTTCCACTCGACCTGGCAGGTAAATGTTGGTATTCGTGCGAAGAAACAGAAAACCATGACTCTTAAATATAAACTGTGCTAAAATAGAGGAGGCAATGGAAAGGAATATTGTTTTGATGATTTAATGCTAGTTGTAGTTCAGCTTAAAGGGAAAGTCTACCGATACTTAACTAAGCAAAGTGAGATGCACTCTGGTGTATGGTAAGTTTAGATCATTGAGTGTAGCCAGGTATGGTGGTGCTCATCTTCGATCCCAGCCCTTTAATGGCAGAGGCAGGAGGATCAGGCGCTGAGAGCCATCCTTGCCTGCATAGCAAGTTTCAAATCAGCTTGATCTGTATGAGGCCCTATCTTGAAAAAATCCAAAAGAATAAAGAAAAGTTGAGTGGATAATTGAGTTGCTTTATTTTAATTCAAACAATGCTACTGAAACTTATCTATAATTCACCCCCAAATTAGTTATGTATGCCTCAGTTTTTCATCCATGAAATGGGATGATGAACTTAGTGGTTTGTGGCACGACTCAACAGATGTACTTTCTAATGTGCTTGGCACGTTGCTGGCTTCCTCTCCTTCGGATTTTCAATCAATTACTTCCCTCTTTTCTTTTGGGCAGACCCATGTATTAAGGGAATAGTTTCAAAGTTTCAAAGCCACATATAGACAATTAAAATTTCTCTCAGTGGTGGCCCTCACAATCGCCTGTGATGTACCCTTAATGAAATCATAAGCCCTTAAGGATTGTCAAGAGGCAAAGTATTTGCAGGACATTCTGTGCTATTCATATCTGCAGGTGGATTTTCCAGTGTGGCTGGTACCCACGAGCCACACAGCTGTGTAGAGCAAAGTCCCGGGTGACACTGGTGTTTTCTCACTCACCTACTCAGTTCCCATGTGTGGCTACCATGCTAGGTAGCAGAGAAATGAGACAGAGAACTCCACGGGGCAGAGTCACCCTGGAGTCCTAGCGTAGGTTCTTGGTATGCAGAACTTTGACCTGGCACTTCTCTGACTTACCACTTTGTTCTAAAGAAACAACTAGACGTTAATAATTACATTTCTCAGTCTATTTTATTTTTTGTGACATTCTCCCTGCTGGCTTCAGGATGAGAGTCAGCCTTAGAATGGATGGAGTTCGCATTTCAGTGTCTTTTGGGGTCTACTCTAATAGACCCAGAGGTGAAAATATTTTGGATCTCAGCACATACTTTCTTGAATAAAATTGTCACCAGAATAGATGAAAATCCATTGGAATGGAAAGACTGGCCTGGCCTTTTCAAAACAGAAAAATCCCAATTACAGATTAATAACCATAAAAACGAGCAAATAACACCGCGATTTTGCCAAAGTGTGCCCCAGGATATAAATGGGACTTGTTATCCAGCAAGCAGAAGCAATCAGCTGCCGTCCTGGGAGAATACTGACTCCATCTTTTGCATGTTGGGTAATATCCTCAGGAGGCTTCGGGAGGGAATTCCTGAGCCTGACTTCTCAGGAAAGACACTTGCTGGTCTTCTATTGGTCTTTCCTTGATCCTTCACCCTCTCACTATTCTGTGGTTTACAGATGTGCTAAGAAAAAAAAAATTGATTTAAGAAATTTTATAAACTTTCAGGGGTACTAATGTTATGCAGCTGTTTGAAAAACAAAGACCAAATGTCACTTCTGATTAAATCACTATTGTGTTTTCCGACAAAGTGCATTGTGCTCATCCGTATCAATGCCGCTTCATAATATTTTCAGGCTCTTGCTAGATGAAGGCTTTCTTTGTTTGAAAACTCCAAATGGAAGGCCTGATTGTTACAAAAGGATTATTTTCTGCCCTTGACCTTGAATTAAATTTACATTTTAGCAATTAAAAGAGGAAGGTTCATCTGTTGATTGGGTCTTCTTTTGTTCAGCTGAATAAGATCTGGAATTGCAGCCTTTCTTGTAAATTGTGAAACAAAGGCTGACAGAATTAGGACAACGTGAACTGACAGTGGCATCTAGTTGGGCTTCCTCCCCCAACCACCACCACTTGAAAAACAGGCCTAGCATGAGTTATGTCTGAATTTGAATTATACGCACTTGAATTTTCACAGCACAATTTACACATGCAACTGGGTCACCCAGCGCATAGGGGAATTCCAGAGGAAATGTCTGGGTCCATCCAGGCCATGACCACTGTCCTTTCTCTGCCAGTCAAGGAAGGGACTCATTTTCCAGAGGAAAAAAACCTGAGGAGGAGACAGAGAGAGAGCCAGTAAGCCTGCCCCACAGTTATCCCAGTTGTCATGGGAAGAAACTGAAGCTTGGGAAGGCTTTGCAACTTGGCCAAAATCCCATTGCGAGAATATGAGGCAGCTAAAGGAAGCTACCAGGTTCCCTGAGGAGGTCCTGAGTTCAGGTCTCTGCTGCCTCTCCATGATGCAGAGCCCCGCCCCCCCCCAAAAAAAACACACACAGCAATTTCTTTAATATCATCTAATTTAATTGGTCCTCTCCAGCAGGGAGACTGGAAGAGGATCTCTAATGAGCCATCAATATGAGGCACACGCTCAGGAAGGGACCATCTTTTAAGTGAATAGAACAGTGTGGCCACAGTGGAAAAGACTGAAATGGGGGAAGTCTCACCCGTTTTTCCCAGGGTTAAATTAAATTACCGAGTCATTTTCTCTCTTCTACAACCAGATCATCTATTTTATTAGTGACCTGTCAGATTCCCTCTTATACTTTGCATTTCAGAACGTTAACTGGTATATCTTGCGTTCTCAGTCCAGCTGAAACTGGTGTGTCCCTCGTCCGTGAAAGCCAGGGGCTTTCTCAGGCTGTTCCTGTGCCAGTACAGTGCGGATCTGTGGAGCATTGGCCTCAGCATCTTCATTCAAGATGGTCCCTTCCTCATCGTGCGCCTCATACTGATGACCTATTTCAAAGTCATCAACCACATGCTGGTGTTCTTTGCGGTGAAGAATTTCCTTGTGATGGCATTGCATCTCTACCGTTTGGTGGCGCTGATCTTGGCCACCCGTGCTTCCTTGCGTGATCAGTCGGAAAGCTCCAAACCACAGCACGGTGGCCCTGACCAACCCCCTGAGAGTGGGCTCAGAGGATGGGAGGGTAAGTCCAGGGAACACCTGTCTCTTCCTTTGCAAGCCTCACCTGTCACCTCTGAGGAGTCCTATCCCACACCTTAGTTATTCCCATCCTTCAGCTGGGAGATTTCACTTTCTTGTTCTTCCTACAGACAAGTTCCTTTTTGATTTTTCTCCCTAATCCTTACATGCAACAATCTCCATAGAAACAATGTGAAAAGATGTCCCATCAGAGCCGAGGTATTGTCTTTATTTTTTTCATCTGAAGGGAAGGAACATTGATAAATAGCTGTGGGACCACTAAGATGGGTTCCCATTGAACCCTCGTAGAGTCAGAGACAGGGTTTTATAGCCTGCTCTCCAAAGAATCAGAGCCAGCAAACTCTGCTGGTGGTTACTTGGAAATACAGAAGCTTTTAACTGTTGGTCACACCGACCTCAGCAATGTCCATCTGGCATCAAGGATGTGCCTTGAGTGAATGCAGTGGAGAGCAGGGTAAAATGCCTTTAAAATGACCTCAGCATGAGCTAGAGGCCAGGAACAGCTCTGCCCAGCTTCCACAGCGCCCACAGTAGTAATGGGAGCCACACAGGCCTTTTCAGGAACATTATTGTGTTAGTCACTTTTCTGTTGCTACGATAGAAACACCATGAACAAGGGAACTTATAAAAGGAAGAGTGTATTTATCTTATGGAGGCGTGGCAGCAGAGCTGGCCTGAGGAGGAGCAGAAGCTAAGCTCTCACATCTTCAAGCAGGCACAGGAGCCAGAGAGTGACTGGAGATCTGGAAAGGCTTAAGAACTCTCTAAGCCCACCCCAGTGATGTGCTTCCTCCAGCATGACCACAGCTTCTAAGACCTCCCTAAACAGAGCCACCAAGTGGGGACAAAATGTTCAAATACTTGGCACCTACGGGGGATGTTCTCCTTCAAACCAGCACAATTAATTTTCTGGACCGAAGTGATATTCTGTCCTGGTGCGTATGATCTTACAGAAATGTGATGGCTTTAGGCTTGGCTCACACAAAATACACAGCAGGGTCATTGTGGCTACCCATGGCATGACAAGAAATGTGGTGAAACACCCACATGGACACAGTTTCCATCAAGTATGATTGGCTGGGCCATTTGAATACCTTGTTACTTTTGCTAGGTTGTCAGAGTGTCTCATGTGATCAGGTGCCAAGGAGCAGCCATGCAGTGATGAAGGTGTTTGCAGCCCTAAGTGTTCCCATGGTTTTTGGTGTCTCTGAGCAGCAGCAGCCGTACCGCAGAAGCACTGTTGCTGGGGTCAGCTGCCTTCCACACAGGGCGTGGTGGGTAGTGCCAGCCTCACACACCGGCCTCCATCAGTGTTAAAAATCACCACATGCCTCGCCCTCCCAGAAATCACTGTGGCGTCATATTCCAAGACTTGAAACAGCCCTCTTTATGCATCTCTGGACATTCTGGGTGGAAATGATGCCCTAGCCTTTTAAAGCGACTTTTGCTTTTAAATACATGATGTAAACATATACTTGGTTGTCTAGCAAATAGTTCCAAACCTATACTGTTAGGTTCTAGGCATCAATAGACTCATGCTGATACTCTCAGGGATTCAGAGACATCTGATCAGGGTACTTCCTAAATTGGATATAACCATTAGCTAACCACTTGGGACATTTTTATCTATGAATGTCCAGTATGGAATGGTATGGATCCACATCATTGGATAACAAGTTTTATAGGCAAATTCTATTTTGTACTAAATCATGTCAGTTTTCTAGCAAATTCCACTTCATTTCTGCTTCTCATTTCCACAATGTTATGTTTGTAAAATGTGCATGAAAGGAAAAGAATATTATAACTTTCCATAATAATTATGTGCAAGTTAAGGTCAAGAAATTGTATTTACATGCAGTAACAACTTGACAACTTTTAAAGTTATCTCCTTTTAAATGGTCAGCAATAGGGGCTGGAGGGATGACTCAGCAGTTAAGAGCTCTTGCAGAGGACAGGTCAGTTCCAATCACCTAGGCAGCTCATAACCACCTATAAATCCATTTGGGGGGGAATCTGATGCCCTCTTGTGGTCTCTGTTGTCACTGCATTCATGTTCATGCTCATGCATGCATGCACGTGTACACACACACACACACACACACACTTGTTAAAAGATAAAAAGCTCAGCACTGAAAAGCAAAAAAAGAAATAACTGCTATCTGTCAAGCCACCTCTGCAGAGTCTGCTGCTGGGCTCGCTGTTTTACGTTGAAAATATTTCCCCTGCAACATGTATGTGCAGATCATTACTGTGGATTTGTTCCCAGCATACTTTTCATGTTTTAATTTTTTTCCCAGAAAAACAAACACTATGCCTCTAAAAATAAAGTCTAAAATAGTGCGGCTGTTGCAAGGATATTTTAAAGTGCTTTCAAATCTGAGGCTTGGCATGGTTTCATGAATGACTTTCTAGTGTTTAAATAAAGTATTTTGTAATTAGCACTCCTCCTAAGGCCTGGGAAAGAAAAGACCTTGTCCAAAATCTGAGTTAATTTAGAATACCAGGAAGTCAGAGATCACCCAGTACCAGCTTGGTAATTAATGGTGGTCAAAAATAGATACAGTCTTCGAGGTTTTTCCGGGAAAATCTGCTAAAGGCAGCATTTACCCTAACGGCCACTATTCTCATCTCTTTATACTGGCTGCTTTGAGCATAAAAAATAACCATGTCTATCTGCTTAGTGTATTTGAAAAGAGTCTTAAATCTAGGTTGTATCTCTGATGAAAAGCTAAAAATGTATTCAATTAGTTGCATGTTGTTAAATATTACTATTATTATTTTGCCTTTGTAAATTGTATGTTTTTAATGGTAGGCTGATAAACATTGCAATTTTTTTAAATGCCCAAGTGCTTGTCATGAAGTGGCCAGAATATCTGTCATCTCTCCCATGTTGCCATCTTGAGACTTGTTTACGTTTTATTTGAAATAAGAGCGCTTACATCATCTGAGTACTGTAATGCAGACTGCTCCCTCTGGCCGCAGGCTTAGCACGCACCAACCCTCAACCAGTGAGGAAGGGTCTTTAATTGTAATTGCTAGAGCTGTGGCTGTCACTGCAAGTTAATTGCTTGATTAAAGCTCAATTGAATGTCCTTCCTACAAGCATAGCCCAGTGGTGAGGAAGCCTGGTGTCCTGGTTTTCATGGTACCGTGCAGACACGCCTGAGGATCCTTTTGGGTCTTGTATGTATTAGATGAGTCTTAGATGCCACAGGATTGTGCTGAAGCTGAGCACACAGCTCTGCCTGTGATTATCCTGTTCATTTTTATTTCAGCTGAAAACAATACCTTAAGATCATGGAAACTTGAATTGCTCAGTAACGTTGTAACGGTCCAAGGAGGTCTTCAACAAGTCTGCCCATTGGCTCTATGAAACTCCACATCCTTCAGCAACTATGAAGATATGGCCAGGAATGAAAGGGATTCACCACTGTAGTTTTGTTAACTCATTATTCAAAAAAAAGTCTACAAAGGGGAGGGGCATCTTAGAGGTACACGAACAGAACTGCCACAAGGTTTAAAAGTTCGACGTGGACTCTAATCTTGGGCATTTAATATCCGTAACTTTTTTTTTATCTTTTAATTTTCTTGTTTTGGGACAAGGTCTCCCTATAGCCCCAGCTGCCCTGGAACTTGCTATGTAGCCCAGCTGGCTTCAACTGATATATATCCCCCTGCCTCTGCCTCCTGTGTGCTGGGACTAAAGGCCTGCGGCACCATGCCCAGCAATATCAGTAACTCTTTACCTAGTTCTCCAGCTAGAAAGGAATCCAAAGCCTAGACCTATCAACCTTCATTCTACCCCAAGACTAAAAACAGACAGTACAGCCTCACCAACCAAGTGGTCTGGAATTGCAAGATAAAAGAGAGACTGTTGCTTGCTTTGCTCTTTCCTAATTCCAGATGACACACGTCACTTAGGGTAAATTTTGATCTGTTCTCAGAAATGTCTGATTAGGGTTAGACCAGGCAGCTGGAGGGTGTTTCCAGCTGGACGCTCCACATAACTTTCATCGTGAAGTGCCGAAGCCTTACACTTTATCGGTCTCTGTCTTCTGGATCTTTCTTACTAGTGTATCATGTTAGTGTATTTTCTGTATTTGTATATTTTGCTGTGACTGACTTTGTTTATTATGGACATTAAATACGTGTGTGCAACTTTCTCTCAATGTCTATTTTTGCCCACTTTTTATGTCTCTCTACTGTAGTTCATTTCCTTTCTGGTTTTTAAGCTCTGGCTTAAAAAATGCAACTGATCTATTTACAACATGATTAAAGTGGCATTTCCAACCAGTGAGGAAGAATGACCAATTTTATAAACGATGTTGGGAAATGTTGTAATCCATCTGGAAAAAATAAAGTAAGATAAAAATCTCTTGCAACCTATAGAAATAAATTCCAGATGGATTAGAGATCTCATTGTGAAAGAGAACTATAAATATTAGATGAAAATGTGGAATGTGCCTTGCACAGCTGGGGGATGGGCAAATTCCTCTTAAACAAGAAGTGAGACCCAGAAGCTACAAAGCGATTGATTGGCAGTTTTTTCTACATAAATGTTTAACTTTTCTGAATGGCAAAAGGTATCACAAATATATCACTGGAGAAAAATGTTGGCACAATCTAGAAATATAAATAAGAAGTATAAATATTGGGATTGAAGAGTCAAAGTTATCATTTACTCATGTAAGATTGAACATCTCAAAAAGCACACTAAAACCTAATTCACCATTTAATAGCCAACCTGAAAGCAAAGAAAACCAACAACTTTTCTATGAACAAATAGCATGGAACACATTTTTGAAGAACACATTTCCCAAACAGCATGAAGTGAAACACAAATACATAGGTGTATACTTCAGGAATGAGAAGAAACTTTTAAAATGATGCTGAGATTCACAAATGAATAAATTACCAAGTAAGTATTTTGGGGGGTTAATAGGCAGCACTGAGAAGGAGCAGTTTCTCCCAAATGTTCTATGGACTAGCACCATCTCCATAAAGCTAGCAACAAGATATTTTTCATGGGCACGTGTGTGCACACGTGTGTGTGTGTGTGTGTGCGTGCATGCGTGCATTTACATGTGTGCGAAGGCCACGTGCTGATGCTGGTGTCTCCCTCAGTCACTCCCACTTTCCGTTCACTGAGGCAGGCTCTCTCCACCTGGAGCTGCTTGTTCTCACTAGCCAGCTTACCCTCTCTCTGCCTTCCAGTGCTGGGATGACCATTTGCCTGTCACACAGACAGAGCTTTCTTCTGGATGCTGAGTATCCTGTGTGTTCAGGCCTCACACTTTGATGGCAAGTGCTTTACCCTCTGGGCCACCTCCCAGGTCCAGGAGTTCTAATTCCTAGTGATTAGTACTGGCTTTAAGTTCTAATGACTGTATCTGATTCTAAAATGCCATGAGGAATGAAGTATAAAAGAGAAACCAAAAACAGTAAAGAAAGAAGAAAAATGAGGGAGAACATTCAGTATATTTAACTGCATTAAGTAGTAACAACAGTCAAGAGAATTTGGTTCTGGTGTATGTATAGACAGGCCAAATCTTTGAATGGAATGAAGTCAATAAATGCATTGAACTACATAAAGGATCCAGATACATGATAAATCACAGAGCAGGGGTAGAATATTATGAATAGTTTAGGTTTTGCAAAATATTAAATTGGATCTTTGCCTCAATCCTGATGTCCCAAAACACTTCCAGATGGACCGAGTGATTAAAGATTTAAAATACAAAAATAGAAAATTTGCTTTTATAATTACAGTGGCGGGAATGTTCTCTGAATAAGATATGAAACACAAAATCTGAGGCGATTCACAGATCAGCTCATGGAAAATGTTATAGCATCCCTAAGAATACTATAAGTAAATAAACAAGTAAACCACAAGCTAAGGAAATGTGATAATAGAACAATGAACTGGGTAAATATGTTTCCAACAACCTAAGCATTAGTTTTCCTAATGAACAAACAGTTTTTATAAATAGGAAGAAAAAAGAAAAATGCCATTGGAAAAAATGAACAAAAGACATAATTATATGATTCACTGAAAAAGGAATAGCTAAAGAAATGCAAATTAAATCACAATGAAATACCATTTGTCAAATGAAGACGAAACTACCCACAACCACTTTTTCACTTGTTGGGCAGAAAAAGACCCCAGACTTCTTTTCAAGTGCTGTGGTAGAGGGGAGCCAGAAGAAACAGGCTGCGCTGTGCACGGCCAGCCAGCGAGGGTAGACACTGGCACAGCTTTATTGGAAGAGAATTTGGAAATTCTGCTCAAAGATAAAAATATATTTCAAGCAACTTAACTTCTAAGAGACCATCCTACATGTACATGTGTGCAAAACAGAGTAAAACTATTCAATATTTTCTAAAGCAGCAACGGCATGCCTGTCCATGTGATCATGACTAAATACTGGGACAGCTGTGCTACATGACACCATATGGATTTCATGTTTTAAAAATATTTTATTATTTTTTTAATGTGTATGAGGGTGTTGCCTGCATGTATGTAAGTGCACGTGTGTCCTGAAGTGCCTGAGGAGGTCAGAAGAGGGTGTTAGATCCCCTGGAACTGGAGTTACAGACAGTTGTTAGCTATGCCATGTGGGTGCTAGGAATTGAACCTGGGTCCTCTGCGAGAGCAGTCAGTGCTCTTAACCACAGAGCCGTCTCTCCATCCCCAACACCACCACCGTATGGATTTTTAAAATCTTGAAGTAGATCTATTGCTGTTGATAGAACAACATCTATTGCTTAGGTATTTTGTTAGCTAAAGTTGGGATGAAAAGCCAGTTAATACATCTGTCTTCTGTAAGTGCCCTTCGCAGGAGGCTGGTAAACATGAAACAATGCTTCTCTTTAAAGATTATGAACATATCTTACTTTGTTTCTTTTTTCTTTTTCTTTTTATAGTTTGGGCTTTAAAAATTGATAACTTGCTTTCATGATTTAAAAATCAATTATAAATTTTAAAAATTATATGTAAAACATGAAAATTAAAAGATGACCAGTTGGGAAGAGGAAGGAGATCAGCAGGAGTGAGAGAGAGAAAGGAAAGAATAGTAGAGAGTGAATATGATCAAAATATATGCATCAAAACATTGTAGTGGGGGCTGGAGAAATGGCTCAGCAGGTAAGAGCACTGGCTGCCCCTGCAGAAGACCCCGCTTCGATTCCCAGCCCTCACGTGGCAGCTAAAAATTGTAACTCCAGTTCTAGGGAAATCTAATGCCCTCTTCTGACCTCTGCGGGTGTTGCATGACACGGGTGTACTTACATACATGCAGATAGTACACTCATACACAAAAAATAAAAATAATAAAATATTTTTTAAATGTCACAGTGAAATTCATTATGTATAATATATGCAAACAAAAGCTTTAAAAAGCAATGCTACATGAATGTTTAACATAATTCCTAATTAAAGAAACTAGTTAAAATTTTAAAAAGCAATTATTAATAGAAATAAAACTCAATACCTTATATACTTTACATGAACCCATTTGCCTTTATACAAAGTTTGTGAATAAATTTAAAAAAAAAAAAACGACCAAGAAAGAAGCCTTGCCTCATAGCTGAGGAGGATCCTATGAGATATTATAATGGAGGGTTTAGACCATGTCAAATTGTGCT